GAAGAGAGTTAAAGCCTTGCTCTGGATTAGGCTTTGGTATAAAGGAATGTTGTGACTGGTTTGATCTTCTATCCAGACCACTAAAACTGTCTATATCAGCAATAAGTCTGTTTTGTTTTCTCAATATTTGTGTGTTCAATGGAGTAGCTCCTTTAATTTCCCTCAATAACTTTTCCTTTGCATTTACAGCTTGGCTAACTGTTTGGCACAAGAGGTCTAGCTTTTAGCCTGTCTCAGCTTTCAACATGCCTTCCTCACTAAGCTTATTTCCAGGTTTTGATTTAAAGTGAGAGATAGGCAACTCTTCTTTTTACTTGAACACTTAGAGGCCACTGTAAGGTTATTAATTGGCCTAATTTCAATATCGTTGTGTCTCAGGGTGTAGGGAAGCCAGAGGAGAGGGAGAGAGATGGGATCAGCTGATTGGTGGAGGAGTCAGAACACACACAACATTTATTAAGTTTGCCATCTTATATAGACCTGGTTCATGATGCCCTAAAACAATTACAATAGTAACATCAAAGATCACTGATCATAGATTACCATAACAGATATAATAATGATGGAAAATGTTTCAAATGTCGTTTGACTACCAAAATGTGTCACAGAGACACAAAGTGAGTATATGTCGTTGGAAAAATGGAGCTGATAGAACTGCTCAACCCAAGGTTGCCCCAAACCATCAATTTGTAAAGAATGCAGTATCTGCAAAGTGCAATAAAGCAAAGCACAATAAAACAAAGTATGTCGGTACTTCAACACAGCAAAGGTCATATATGACAAACCCATAGTAAACATTACTACAGTCAGTGGTGAAAAGTGGTTTCCTCTAAGACCAGAAATAAAACAAGGATACACACTCTCACCACTTCTACTCAACATCTACCTAAAGTCCTAGCCAGAGAATTAGGCAAAAGAAAGAAATAAAAGGTATCCAAATTGGAAAGAAAGCAGTTTGCAGACAACAGAATCTTATATATAGAACACCCCAAAGACTTCACCAAAAAACTGTTAGAAATAATGAATAAATTCAGTAAAGTTAGAATTACAAAATCAACATTCAAAAATTAGTAGCGTTTCTATACACTATCAACAAACTATTCAAAGATAAATCAGTAAAACGATCCCATTCATAATAGCTATGACTTAGAAATATATTTAATTGAGGAGGTGAAAGATCTGTACACCGAAAACTCTAAAACACTGATAAAAGAAATTTAATATGACACAAATAAATGGAAAGATATCTCATGTTCATGGATTGTAATAATTGATATTATTAAAATGTCTGTACTACCCAAAGTGATCTAGAGATTCAATGCAATCCCTATCAAAATTTAAGTAATATTTTTCCACAGAAATAGACAAAAAAAATCTTAAAATTTGTGTGGAATTACAAAAGACTCAGAATAATCAAAGCAATCTCAAGCAAAAAGATTAAAGCTGGAGGCATCATACTACCTGAATTCAAAATATACTACAAAACTATAATAATCAGGGGCCGGCCCGGTGGCGCATTGCTACAGTGCGCCGCCTGGGAAAGTGCGGTGGTGCTCCCGCCGAGGGTTCGGATCCCACATACAGACCAGTTCCCGCTCACTGGCTGAGCGAGGTGCGGGCGCAGCACCAAGGGTTGCGATCCCGTTGCCGGTCCCGGTCCGGTATGGGCGCGACACTGAGGGTTGCGGTCCATTGCCGGACACGAAAAAAAGACAAAAAAAAAAAAAACTATAATAATCAGGGGCCGGCCCGGTGGCGCATTGCTACAGGGCGCCGCCTGGGAAAGTGCGGTGGTGCTCCCGCCGAGGGTTCGGATCCCACATACAGACCAGTTCCCGCTCACTGGCTGAGCGAGGTGCGGGCGCAGCACCAAGGGTTGCGATCCCGTTGCCGGTCCCGGTCCGGTATGGGCGCGACACTGAGGGTTGCGGTCCATTGCCGGACACGAAAAAAAGACAAAAAAAAAAAAAACTATAATAATCAACAGCATGGTGTTTGCATAAAAATAGACACATAGAACAGACACATAGACAAATAGACCAATGTAACAGAGTAAGAGATCCTAGAGATAAATTCAGGTATTTACGCTCAGTTGATTTTCAACCATGGTGTCAAGAACACACAACGAGGAAAGGACAGTCTCTCCAATAAATGATGTTGTGAAAGCTGGTTGCAAAATAATGAAATTAGGCTCTTATCTCACATCATATACAAAAATCAACTCAAAATGTATTAAAGACTTAAATACAAGACCTGAAACTGTAAAACTACTAGAAGAAAACAGAGGGCAAAGCCCTATGACATTGGCCTAGGCAATGATTTCTTGGATATGATACTAAAAGCATAGACAACAAAGGCAAAAATAAACAAATGGGATTACATCAAACTAACAAGCTTCTACACAGCAAAGGAAATAATCACAGAGTGAAGAGACAACCTATGGAATGGGGGAAGAAAATATTTGCAATATCCAAAATATGTAAGTAACTCAAACAACTAAAGAACAAGAAAACAAATAACTTTAAAAAAAAATGGACAGAGAATCAGAGCAGACATTTCTCAGAAGAAGACATACAAACATCCAACAGGTATTTGAAAAAAAAAAAATGTTCAGAATCACTAATCATCAGGGAAATGTAAGTTAAAACCACAGTGAGTTATAACCTCACACTATCAAAAGACAAAAGGTAAGTATTGGCAAGGATGTAGAGAAAAGGCAACCCTTATACACTGCTGATGAGAAGGTACTATGATACAAACACTATGGAAAACAGAATGGAGGTTCTTAAAAAAAAAACAAAAACTAATATATAACCCAGCAATTCCATTTCTGGGTGTCTATACCCAAAGGAAATGAAATCAGTATGCTGGAGAGATATATTCACTCCCATCTTCACTGGAGCATTACCCACAATAGCCAAGATGTGAAATCAACCTAAATGTCCATTAACAAATAAATGGGTAAGAAAACACGGGATATATACACAATGGAATACTATTCAGCCTTAAGTAATAAGAAGATCCTGTCATTTGTGACAACATGGATGAATCTGCAGGGCATTATGTTGACTGAAATAAGCCAGACACTGAAAGACAAATACCACATAAATCTCACTTAGATGTGGAATCTAGAAGAGTCAAATTCATAGAAACAGAGAGCAGAATAGTGGTTGCCAGAGGCTTGGGGTGGGGGATGGCTGGGGCAATGTTGGACAAAGGATATAAAATTTCAATTAGAAGGTATAAGTTCAAGAGATTTAATGTACACCATGATGACTATCGTTAATAATGCATTCTTGAAAATTGCTGAGAATAGATTTTAATCATTTTTAAAGGAAAAAATGATAAGCATGTGAGGTTATGCATATTTTAATTGGCTCAATTTAGGTGTTCAACAATGTATACATATTTCAAAACATCACATTGTACATGACAAATATATACAATATTTTATTGATTAAAATAAATTAAAAGAAAAAAAGACAGTAAGAAGAGTGAAAAGATAGGACATAAATCTGGATAAAACATACACAACCCATATAACTACTGAAGGACAGGTATCCAGATTTCACAAGGAACATCTGTGAGTTAATAAAACAAGACATACAACCCAAAGGGCAATTAAGCAAAAGACATAAGCAGGTATTGCACAGAAGCACAAACAAAAATGGCACTAAATGTGTAAAAGATGTTTAGTCATATCAACAATCAGTTAAATGAAAATTCAAAATGCAGCAAACTACTTTTTCTTACCAATTGCTTGGCAAAAATCGAAAGAAAAAATTACCACACATTCTGTGAAACTGTAAGAGAACATTCATACATTCTGAGTACAAATGTCAAATAGTACTTATCCCATTGGGTATATTTAGCTATGAAAGTTCTCAATATTATTTTATCTGTTGATGAAACGATTTTTCTTAATGTACAAATTTATTCATAAAAGAATTGTAACAGTAAAAGACTGAAAACAAACTGACCATCTATAGAGTCTGGTGGAAACAGACTACAGTTCATTAACATAATGAGAAATTATGCAACTTTAAGAGTGAAGATACTATTTAGGAAAAGATTGAAATCACCTCCAGTATATGTTAAGCACCTTAAAAATTTGTTAAATTTTGAATAGAAAAAGAGGTCACAGAATATTGTGTGTGTTGATGTGCTTGTGTTACTTTTCATTTGCATAAAGCAATCCTGAAAGTTTCCTACAGAGGACAAAACAGTGAAAATGGGATGGAGAGGTAGGTAAGTGGAAGCAATACTCCTAAATACACTTTATATATATATTTTTTATTTTTTGTATATGTGAATATATTATCTATTAAAAAATAAAACATCCTTTTATACCTACCATACTGGCCAATGTCATACAGTAGTAAATACTGGCCAGGACATGGAGCAAAACAAACTCTCCTCCAGTGCTGGCAGGAGTGGATATTGTTACAACCACAGTGGGAAAGAATAATCATGGTTCCATCATTTGCAATAGTGAGAAACAAGAAGTGACAGATACAGCCATTAATACTGTGATAGATTACAAAGTTTGGAGCATATTTATATAATAAATACCATCACCCAGTGAAATAAATAAAATGTGACATGCAACAAAAGAGATGAAATTTCACAAACATGATGTTAAGTAAAAGATGTCACAGAAAAATTAATGCAATAAGAGTCCATTAAAATTATATAACAATTATCTAAGCTATGTGTTGTATATAAACATATATACAATTGACAAAATTTTTAAAAAGTATGGAACTGATTATAACAAAGTCTGAATGGCAAACAGGATATACAACCCAGATGAAACACACAGGGGACTTTCATAGCTGATGAAAATTCCATATTCTAACCTTGGACATAGATGCATAATATATTTATTTCAGTAGTATTCTTTATACTGTTCAGGTGTATGTTATACATTTCCTTGTATGAATATTTCATAATTCAAGAAAAATTATCTATAACTAAAATGGTAAGAACGACATAGTTACCTGACATATACCTCCCGTTATTTGACACAAGTCTGGCTGGCTAAAGGTTGCAGTTTCATCATTTTCAGTGAGGGAAGATAAACCAGATTGTGGAGTCATCCCTTTCTTAATAAAAGATCGCACATTATGCCTAACAAAAACAAAAACAAAAACTTCTGTTATTTTAATCTTTTTTAAAGTTACTAATCAATAACTGCAATTTTGTCAACAATAGAAAGTTCTGATTTTTTTCATCTTGTCATTCTCACTCTTTCGCCACCAGTAATTTTTTAACTTCATATTAAAACACTAAATAGCTTTATACATTACTGAAGAAACATTCTATATCAGTCAATGTATTAGTATAAAAAGATTTTGGAAACACTTTTAAAACTATAGTAGTCAACTTTGGATGTTGGTGATCAAAACACAGAAATCTGACATTTAGAATTTAATTAAGTATCAAAGTAGTATGTCAGTGAAATAGAGCTTAAAGTCAGAAATTTAATTATGAGTCTTGAGCACTGATGTTTATGACTGGTAGCCAAGTGTACTGTACACTTCCTTTCAAGAAATTGCTGATATGACCCCAAAACACTATCACCATAGCTAGAATTTTATAGGTAAAATAAAAAGGCATTTGTTGCAATGTATACATTTTAGGTAAGTGTGTTTCAAAGGTTAAATTAAACTCTATGTACACAGACTTCATAAACTTGGATTTTTTTTCCAGTTAGTGTTCCGTAAAACTTAATTCACCCGTAACTAAAATTGTCTGATTTACATAAGTTTGCCACTAGAGGGTAGCACAAACATATTTTTGAGGCTCCAATTCTATCAAACAAGGCCAGGAGCCAAGAATGGGCAAACCTGACCTGTTTTTACAGAGAAGTGATCCAATGAAAGGAAGTTGTGATAATAGTCATTTTCAGGGGCTTGCCAAAGAAACGCATGCTCTTGTGTTGACTTGAGAACTCTGACTGTACAGCAAAGCAGGACAAGGAGCATGTCTTTTACATAGGATGAAATGCCATTCACCTATCTTTGCACTTGGCTCTGCCAGATAGAATGAATATGCAAATGAATTCATAACAGAATCAAATAGTGAATAGATTAGTTGAATCCAATCAAGTGATAATGTCATTTGCATATGGTATTAGAATTTCATCTACCTTAATCAAGTAATAAAGCTGGAAGAAGATACAAGAAAATCAAGTAAGGAAGTAACTCAGGGAACTCAGCTTATGAAACCAACCCATTAGTGGTTCCTACTGGCATAGAGATTCTTAAAGGCTGGGTACACAATTTAAATTGTAAGAAAATTTGTTCTGGTGGTCTGCAGCTCCCAGTGCCTAAACGCTTATGAAACCAACCCATTAGTGGTTCCTACTGGCATAGAGATTCTTAAAGGCTGGGTACAGAATTTAAATTGTAAGAAAATTTGTTCTGGTGGTCTGCAGCTCCCAGTGCCTAAACCCCATGAAATCTCTGGTTCGTATGCAAACCCAGCTGAGAGAACCAAAAATTATTTAGAATGGCAAAATTATCATCTTTAGTGAGTGTGATAGTTAATCTTAGGTGTCAGCTTGAGTCGATTAAGGGATACCCAGATAGCTGATAACACATTATTTCTGGGTGTCTGAGAGGTGCTTCTTTAGGGGATTGTTGTGTGAGTCAGTGGACTGAATGGGGAAGATACATCCTCTCTGGGGGTGAGCACCATCCAATCATCTAGGGGTCTGAATGGAACAAAAAGGCAGAGGAAAGGCAAATTTCCTCTAGCTCCTGGAGCTGAAATGCCCTTCTCCTGCTCTAGAATATCAAAACTTCAGGCTCTCCAGGCTTTGGCCTCCGGGACTTGCCCCCTCAGTTCTCCATGCTTCAGCCTCAGACCCAGAGTTACTGAATCAGCTTTCCTGGTTCTGAGGTCTTCGAACATGGACTGAACCACACTACCAGCATCCTTGTTTCTCCAGCTGCAGATGGCCTATCTTGGAACTCCTCACTTTCCATAATTGCATGAGTCAATCCCCCCAGCAAATATCCTATTATATATCTGTATATCTCTATCAATATCTACCTATATCCTATTGGTTCTGTCTATCTGGAGAACCCTACTACAGTGGGTAGCTTTAAGCATAAAATTAATTTTAAAAAGGTTAATGCTTCAAAATTTTTATGTTGTCATTAAAAATTCTGTGTAAATGCTATAAACCGAAGGTTTGTGTCCCCCCCAAAAAATTCATACGCTGAAACCTAATCCCCATGTGATGGTATCTGGAAGTGGAGCCTTTGAAAAGTGATATAGGTCATGAGGGTGAAGCCCTTGTAAATGGGCTTGGCACCCTTACAAAAGAGACCATAGAGAGATTACAGCGAATAAACAGCTATTTTTGACCAAGGAAATGGACCTACACTAGACACCAAATCTGCCAGTGCCTTGATCTTGAACTTTCCAGCTTCCAGAACTGCAAAAAATGAATTTCTGTTCTTTATAAGCGACCCAGGCTATGGTATTTTTTTATAGCAGCCTGAACAGATTAATACACTATGTATAGACTGGTCAGGAATATAGATCTGCATGGGGTGCAATTTGCTGTAAAGTCTCAGGCCCACACCAGAGCTTCCACACATCCCAGGTGTATTGGACCTCACAAGACCTAAAAGTGCTTAAAAAGTCAACAATTAAAACCTGAGCTGCACAAAAAGCCTTCCTCAGAAAATCAGCAGCAAAGCAGCAAACCTGAGCTGCACAAAAAGCCTTCCCCAGAAAATCAGCAGCAAAGCAGCAGTTCAGCTTAACCAAAAGGCTCAAGTGAGGGTCCCACAGGAAGTTCCTCCATTTTAGAAGTAAGCAAAGAACATCAAATTAGTTCTAGTGGAGAGCTTACATGGTGGGGGTAGCTAATAATCCAACACAGAACTGAAAGAAAACACAAAACACCCACAGGCCAGAGACAAAGTTCTGATATTAACCAGTAAAGGTCTAACACCACCAAAGAACACCTATAAAACCTAGAAGAGCTGGAAGCCCCCTGGGGTCCTGAGCTGGGGTGGGGGTGCCAGAGCCTCAGCCACACCCCCCTGACATCCACATCCAGCCCAGAGATGACTGACCTGCCACCAGAAGCCTCCTGGGCCCCTGAGCTGAGCTGGGAGGGCAGAGGGCCTCAGTCATGCCCCCCTATGCTCAAATCTAGCCCAGCAACAAACAAGCTAGACTGGAAACCCCATGGGACCCTGAGTCAGTGTTAGGGGGCTCTCGGGCCTCAGCCACGCCCCTCCCCCCACCCCCCACAACCAGGTCAGCAAAGGAGACAACTGTAGGCCAGCCCTGCCCACCTCTCCTCTATCCCCCTACTGCCCCCTCCCCTCCCCTTTCCAGTGCACTGTAACATCTTAGAATGTAAAATAATAATAATAAACTTTTTTTAAAAATGTACTTTTTGTACCAAACTTCTTCAATCTAATTTTTCTTTGTAAGATTTATCCATGTTGTTTTGTGTAGCAGTACAAAGGTACTTCAAAAAGTTCATGAAAATATTTATATTATCTTTTAATTCTATTTTTACATGAACTTTTTGAAGTATTCTTGTATTATTTCTTTCACTTTTATATCTGTATATTATTCCATTCTATTCATCTTTGGTTTTACTATGATGTGTCTAGTTGCAGTATTCTTTGTATTTAGTATTTAGTGTTTTCAGAACTTCCTTAATCTTGACTCAGATTTTTTACTTTTGGTATACTTTTGGCCATTATAATTTTATTTTTTGATTATTTCCAAATTCCTCTATCCCCTACTTCTGAGAATCACAGGCAAATATGTTGGTTACTTTCAACTTTTTCCATATGCCTTTTACTGTACTTTATTCCTTCCTTTTTTTTTTTTTTTTGTCTTCATGCTTCAATCTGGATATTATCTTTTGACGTATATTCTATTTTGCTAATTCTCTTTTTGCTTGTATCTAATCTGTCATTAAACACACCTATTGAGCTCTTAATTTCAGTTATTATATTTCTTGGTTGTAGAATTTCTATTTCCTAAAAACCATATTATGAAGTAATCTATTTTTCAAATATTTTTACAATTCTGTTAAGAAATAATTTAAGTACAATTTAACTGCACAAATTCAAAGTACAAATTACAGTATACATATCCATGTAATAATTACCTATTGTTGCAAAAAATCACCACAATTTAACGACGCTCATAAATCCACCCACTGTTTCTTCTCATTGTTGCTATTTGTAGACTTCCTGCTCACTTCTCCTGACTCAATAAAAATTTTGGCCCAGACTCATAGTCTTTCTTTCTATCCCTATTGTCATGATCAAGTATTAGTAAATTTGGATTTCTCCTGCTCTTTCTTTTCTTCCTCTTAATTCCTCTTCCATCTTCTTCATAGTCTCTGTAGTTGAATTTAGTTATATTTCTTTTTCCTAAGAGTAACACACCTCATCTTTTAGGTTTCTATGTCAATCATTTGATCTTGCAATTCAATTAGCTGGTAAAAACCAAAAATATTTATCAATGCTAATGTTTAAGTAAAACAAGATACATTTTTGTTGTTCTAAAACAATAGCCAAAGCTGTAAAGCAAGACAGATTTTTCAATCAGCAAAAATACTAGAAATGAAAAAAATTACTTGTTAGAATAATTCCAAATATTAAATATACTAAACCTCTCTGGCTCTCATCTACCTAGATGCCATCTCCCAATTTTGTGTTTCCAGCTGTAATCTTTCATCAGCTTTTATTCCCATTTTGTTTACTTCTTTTAGAAAAATAGTACTAGCAACTGTGACATCTCACTAAAGCAGTAAAACAATATAAAGAAGGAAAGGAAGGGTATTTTTCATTAGTGTCTTTGTTTTATGTATAATGTTTTCATATTTCTTTATTTTTGTAGTAAGAATTTTTATTGATTATAATAGGTAAGTGCTTTTTTCTCACAAGAAGAGTAATGCTCTTGCCAATAAATCTTCAGTATCCCCCCACCCTTTATTTAGATGTCCCTGGGATATAAGCACTCATTCAATTTATTTGTTTTAAGTCTTATGCTGATAAAACCCTTCAAAGTAGGCCTTACTTTAACCAGTTCAAAATTTATCTTACAATATTTATTGCTATAACGAGGAACCTAAGAAA